TAACAAAAAAGAAAAAAAAAGCCTCGGGCGAGTTGACCCATAAAGTCATTTGGAATTAAAATCAAACGTAATTAAAAAAAAAAAGCATGGCTGAGTCCATCATATATTTAGGATGGCCGCACTTCAACATTTCAAAACAAAATTAAAACGCTTAGAACACATATTTAAAACCTAAAATATTAAAGTAAACGTAAAAAGAAAAGAAAAGAAAAGAAAAAAAACCGGTTCAGCGGCTTAGCCGAGCCGAGACTAAAAGTCTATCGGCTCGGTTTACAAAAAAAAAAAAAAAGAAGGTGCTGAGCCAACGGCTTAGGAATAGTGCTTATGAATAGTGGCACAACCCTCCACTCTTTTATTTAAATAGGATAAGCAAAAAACAAACAAATAAAAATGTAGCGCTCATGCCAAATGGGATGAGGGAAAAGAGGACCCATGTGTGATACAATACTAATTTTTTAACCGTTCACGCTACGAATAGTGTTTTCAGGATGATCAAAATTGAAAATATTTGAACAGTATACGTAGTTATGAATGTGCAGTAATGTAATTTTTGAAAATAGTGTTGTTACTTTCGGAGAATGATGGCATGTTAATGAAGTTCAAATTTTGCTCCATATTATCTTATTACAAAATAACTAATAAATTTTGTTGTCATTAGTGCAAGTAAGTATAATAATCTAAATTTACACTATGAAAAGAATTTCGTCTTCTTATAACTATCGCTAACATTATTGTAATGGTTATATAATTAAAATAAAAGAATATAAATATTTTTACATACTATTATTTCTCCGCAATGAATTTCAATAACGTAAGTGAAACCCGTTTGATATTGTTATTTCAATTATAATTTCCAATTGAATCTAATTTTTTAAAAAATCTGTTATAAAATCACGTGCAACGCACGTTACATACTAGTTCTTCACCAGAATCTTCTGTATGAGAGCAAGAGGTGCTATCACCACGTGAACTTTGATGCCAAGTCAATGTGGTTGTTCTTATACTCGTGTTTTCTTTTCATTTCTCCTTTTGTCTTTGACAGACTTGTGGTATATTTATAGTCTAAAATTAATTAACTTTGCAAATAATGAAAATAAATTTAAGATAGGAAAATGTTTTCTCAAAAATAGAGTTCGATACACTTTCTGTTCGCTTTTGGGGTTAGATTGTAGCATTAACAACTCGCTTATGTATTAAGCAAGTATAGGAACGATCGGAATTGATCTCCTAAATACCTGCTAATCATTGGTGACGTGACACATTACAATTTGTGATGTAATCAGTTTTGTGACCAAAAATTATCTTCCACTACCTATTGTAGTGAACCATGTCATCCGAGTGTTTAGCATAAGCCAAGCACTGGTACTTAGGAGATCAGTCCTATATGAACGATTATATCAATTATCAATTATCACTATGTAAGATTTACCCTATAATAACTATTGGAAAATCAAATCCAACGTAGCGTGTCGATACTAATGTTTATGGACATTGGCTTGAAAAAGATAAGAACAATGCTATCTAGTTATTTTTAAGAACAGTTGGGTAATAACACGTGGTTGGTTCGATTAAATTGACCATACATCCTTATAAGTGATTAAAAATATATCTTTTATCCATATATTTTATGCTCAGTAGAAGAATTCACAATTACTATCCATTTATTATACATACATTTCATAGAATCACAATTTACAATTACTTGTATTTTAATTGAATCACTTTCTAAACATACACTTACTAAATCTATCATTTAACCCTCGAAGTCTTGTCGCGGTTGAACACCAACAGTAGGGGTGGAAATGTGTCAAGTTGGATTAGGTTTGGACCCAAAACGACAACATAATCGACAGTTCTAGCTGGGTTAAATTCTAACCTGAAATCGAACCGATGTGATAAATTAACTAACTCAATTTGAGTCAGTTTGGATTGATTCGATTGGTCCAAGCCAACCCGAAAGCTAAACCAACATCCCTCCAAGGAGACTTGAGTCGGTTCAATTGGGTGGATGAAGAGCCAACAAGTCGTGAAGTATATATACAACTTTAATTATAGTGCTTTAGATGGAATAAACATCTTAAAATTCGTCAAAATTGTGAAATAGGCCAGGGCTGGACATCATTGTGCTCAAGCAATGCCCTCGCGCCAATGAGCGGCGCCTCTGAAGTTGAGCACCAGACTCCCTATTCCGAGTGTTTGAGCGAGAGATGAGCGCAAAGTGAGTCAAAATGCGACGAGACCATCTTTAGATTTCTTCAAGGTCTCTTTAACCAAATCGCCAATACTCAACGGAAATCATAATTCAACATTAGATTTTGAGAAAAAATGATTAAATGTGTAGTTGAAAAGTTGTGGGTTTCATGCAATATGGGGTAAAAATTAATTGTTGACTTTAAATTAAATTTTTATCAAGATTAAAATTCACACCAAACAAGGGCTAAATTTTGAACAAATGTGAAATAAAACAAAAGCCAGCTCATTTTTTTGAGTTACAAATCGACTGCTAATATGTAGCTAAGTGTCATTTATAACCAAACGCAATTTTGGTAACCCAATTACTTTCTTATCAGTTTCAACAGTTTTCAAGGTCAAAACCGTCATTTCACTTTTTTCAAGTTCATACTCTATATCACCATTTCTCACTGCCTTTTTTTTTCCGCCATAAATTTCAGTCTCCCTTCCAAAAAAATTCAGTGTGCGATGATATATACATACACGTATAAATACATATATACATGCGTGTATAGCATAAACAACTACAGATACTCGCAGTGAAGGTAATGATGAAGAGCGATAAAGTTTCTGTATCAATTGTACTCTCTGCTGTTTTTGTGGCATCAATCGTAATTGTGTTTGTATTGGGATGTGTTTCTGATAAAAGTGGAATTGGATCATTCTATGTGAATTCAGAAAAAGAGATTAAAATACCCGTAGTACAATTGATTACAACTCCTGCACGTACGCATATTGGTGAATCCAGAGCTGTTCTTTCCTCCGAATTTTCATCTAAATTCAATTCTACCGCCATTGTTACCGTAAGTATTTTTAAATCACGATCCCATATATCTATATCTCCACTATCTTTCTCTGTGTGCGTAATTGAAAAGCATTTGTATGCACATTCGTGTGAAATTAACGAATACAGCAAAGCATGTATGTGTAATTAATACAGAGATGCTGTTTTATACACAATAATCTTAATTAATACCATTTCATGCTTTTACTCGTACTTATTTATGTGAATGAATTTTTGTATTGTTAAACTATATTTATGTTTAGTTAAGTTTAATTTCTTCGCGATTTTCATTTGGTTGTGGTTTGATTTAGTGTAGTTGTGAAGTTGTTAGCTACCCGCAAAGCATTTTTTTTACTTGATTACAATGCTGAATTGTTCATCATATTTTGAATTTACAGCCTTGCACACGTTTTTTTGTGTGTGAATTAGTTGTATCGAGATGATTTCATGAATTAATGATCAGCCATTGATATGCAGTATTCACCAGTTAAAGCCTTCAACACGTTTTTGTGTGATTACGATTTCATGAATTTATGGAGATTTCATGAATTTTCTTTGCATTAATGTGAAAATGCAGAAAAGGAAAAATAATAAATTGGAGCAAGTACTGGCTAACGTGAGAGCAGCAATTCGGAAAGCAGCTTCAATAAAAAACAAATCAGTAATCTTCAAGAATAATGATCTCCTCTCCGGCCAAATTTACCGAAACCCCAATGCGTTTTATCGGTAAGCAAGTTTATAAGAGAAATTAATTAATTTTATTATGTATTAGAAGTGTTAGAACACATGTACATTACATGTATGTGCTTCAAACGAGATATCAATCGATTTATGCACGTTCAATAAATTTAAAATATAATTTAAGTCAGTCAAACATATTTTTTATTTAGACACGTAGTAGGCTCATAGCTTATAATCACTTAAATTTTGAATTATTCACTCAAGCATATATTAGTTTCTTCCCTCACTTATAAATACTTATTTACGTGAAATGCTAGGATTTAAATATTTATTTACGTATGGAATGACTTGGAAACTTTGGTAATGTGGGGGATTAGATTCTTATTTACATGCATACTACAGATTTAAATATTTATTTACGTATTGAAAGAGAAATATGAGTACAATTTTTTTCGTGTAATACCTTTTCGCGTACGATAATTGATATGTAATTATGTATGCAAGGGGAATTGGAAGGGCTTTGTGTGCTGGGACACCTTTCCTTCCAAGACACTCAGTTTTCTTACTACTGATTTTTAAGAGGGATAGGGAGAGTCTTCTAATTGACGCATGGAGAGTAGTGCGCACACTCATTGTTCCCTCCACTCTATTGTTTTTGCATTTTGTGGAAAACTGAAAAGGCCAGCCACTATTACTCATGCTTGATAGTGTTAAACATTGCTGATGGACGGCTACCGTCTTTAAAGGTTTACATTTTTGAAAAGAGACAAATTCTTGGACATAAATTTAATTAAATACAAATTAAAAGAAAACGTCAAATTTTATTTAGTCTTTTCATTGCCCAAAATACTCGATTGATGTCCACCTTATAGTTTGCCATGAGAAAAATAAAATATCTCAAGGCACTTAGTGTGAGGTAATTTTTTGAGGCACACGTCTCAAAGCTAGTGAAGCATGCACTCTCCAAACTTATGTACTTCGGTTGTAGGTCCAATAAATATTAAAAATTATAATTAATTCACTTTGGGAATAGTCCACCAACGCTATTTCTAAAACATTAAAAATTGTGAATGTCATATATCTACTTTAAGAATAGTTCATTGTCCCACCAACTAAAGCAATTATTTCTTTTATAACTATTTCTTTGTTTGTTTATATACTTAAATTGTTCTAGTGTGAATATTTAAGATTTTTAACTTGTTTTACACTAATTTTGCATTTTGATATTTTTTTTTATTAGCATTTATTGTTTTCCTGTTTTGCTTACTCTTCACCTCATGAAATAAAAAGTCTTTTTAAATATGGAGTATAGTATTAGATGAAGTAGAGAGATGATTCCAGTGAAATAGAGTAAATAATTTATTTAGTCGACTCTTTATTGGGAAGATATTTATTTGTTATTGTTATGTCATGATTTGTATGGCTTGCAATGATAATTGTTTTAAGGGAATGGTGCACCGTGCATGGTCCAGATCCTGCCATCTAAAGAGTAATTGCTTTATTCTTCAAGAAGGCGAATTTCTTTAAATGATGCGCACTACAAGAAAACTATTTGTTTAACCACAAACACTAGTTTTTGCATTTTGATATGACATTCAATTTGCCATTTGAGACACCACATCAAGAAATTTGCTTGGTCCACAAGATTGATTTCCAATAATAACATAAAATAAATGCAAGATCTCTTCACTCTTTCTTAAATGGCATTAATTGAATACTACCCAGATTTTAGTTAGATAAATGACTCCAAATTATTAGCCGGTATGAATCGATTTTCATGAAAAACTTGTTAAACTTTCAGAAGTTTAGAAGATTTTAATAAGGAAATTAATATACGTATAATCAACATGAATCCTGCACCCATTTAGCGTTATATATTAACATAAGACTTTCTCTTTATTTACTTATCGTAAATTTTTTGAACAATTCTGTATTAGTTTAAATGTATCCTTGCTAAAAAATATAGACTAATTTACAATCGAAAAGTCATCGATTATATCTTTAACGTAAGGATATATGCAAATTGAATGTGATAGAATAGAATTATAGTTCATAAATAATACGTTGCCGCCTCTGTTTAAAGTATTGGACAATTTCCTCTTAGCAATTATGAGAGTTCAAATTTCAGGACTGGAAACAAGAAAATCATTCAATTCCTTCAATTGTAACCAGGCATATCACATATGGCAGTTATTTGGTGCAATAATTAGTTGTTGTACATTCTGCTACCTTCTTGTAGTATAAACAGTTCACCGCTGGATGGCGTCAAAATTCTCATTCTTTTCAATAACTTGGTAGTCAATCAATTCCATTCCTTCGTTGTCTCAATTTAAATATCGTACAAATAAAGGTGTTGTTCCAGATGGTTTGAAACTTGTACCTTGCAGGTTGAAAAGTTTGAGGAATTACTCCCAATAAATTAGGAATACTGTACCTTTTGGTCCCTACTTAAGTTTCAGTAACAAAATGGCTTTGTGCTTTTAAAAAGGAGCAAGTTGGTCCCTTGTATTTGTAGTGTAATTATACTATCAGTCCCGATTGTCAGAAATAGGTTAGTCACATCATCACATGACCCTCAAGAAAATATATTTCACTTGCAATTTCTAGGAAACAATTCAAGCTGGGAAATAAAACTTAGCTTCATAGAGTTGGATATACAAAAAATCACGTGAAGAAAACATAAAGTTGTATGATTCTTGTTATTGGAGACTGATTATGCAACTATAATGAAATGTTTCTACCCTTTTGCTCTTTTATAGAGGTCGAGGACCCTCTAGCTATTGTTGGAATACATTAGGGACAAATAACACCATTTTCTCTACTCTATCTAATCCATCTTGAATATTGAAAATTTCAGAAGAATAAAGCATTTGCTTTGATGTTGTGTGTTAAATTTTGTTGGAACTTATTAGCATGCTCCAAATGCAGGAGTTATGAGGAAATGGAAAGAAGATTCAAGGTTTATGTATATGAAGAAGGAGAATTACCAATAGTACATGATGGGCCATGTAAAGATATATACACAAGTGAAGGAAGGTTCATACATGAGATGGAACAGGGTAACAATAGGTTCAGGACAAGAAATCCAGAAGCTGCTCATGTTTACTTCATGCCCTTTAGTGTTACATGGATGGTCAAGTACCTCTACCAGCCTAACACATACAATGTCACGCCACTCAAAGAGTTCGTGTCTGATTATGTGAGAATCATCTCAAGGAAACACTCATTTTGGAATAAAACTCAAGGAGCTGATCATTTCATGGTTTCCTGCCATGATTGGGTAAGCACAATTAATTCCTCGATTCATTTGGTATTTGAATGCCGACCCTAATTACTTAGAAACAGGCTTAGTTTATTAATGTTGTTCATATGGTTTATTTGAATAGAAGTTTTCTGGTGTTTCATGGATATAGTCCACAAAAAACCAATTCTATTTGGTTTAATTTAGGGTTATAAACATTGTTACTCAGCCAAATTTATATGAATAATGTTACTTATATATAATGGAGTTACATAATTGTTCACATACATATGAAGTGTCAAAAAGAGAGTAGAGATTATTATTTTTAATTTAATTGAAGAAATTATAACATAATTGTATCCTACCACATTATATGTATGTAAACAATTATGTAAATATAGTACAATCGAATTTATAGTGATGTTTCACTCTGGTCATAGAACTTTTACTTTTGTTGCAATTTAGACACTCCATGTCTCCATCTACCCTGAATTAACGTAATGTTCAAGTGATATGAAAAAGTGTGTGATGAATTCAATAATGAAACAAAAATGAAAATGAGTAACGTGACAAATTTGGAACCATAAGAAGACCAAGTGGAACAATGCTATAAACCGGTTGGCTAACAATGTTTTTAAGCCGTTTGATTTATACTCTGATCTCTAGTTTAATTCAAATTGTGTTGCATGATCAATATATACATCATTTTCTGTACTAAAGAAAGATGATGAAATTTTGCTGTTTAAATTGTACCAGGGGCCCGTCACTTCACAAGGCAATGCACTTCTCTACAACACATCAATTCGGGTATTGTGCAATGCCAATTCTTCTGAAGGATTCAATCCAAAGAAAGATGTGAGCTTGCCAGAAATACATCTTTATGGTGGCAAAGTACCCTCAAAGCTGCTCCATCCCCCACCATTTAACAGTTCAAGGCCACATCTCGCATTCTTTGCTGGTGGAGTTCACGGCCCTATTAGGCCGATCCTCCTTGAACATTGGAAGGACCGGGTTTCAGACATTAGTGTATACGAGTACCTTCCTAAAGATCTAGACTATTACGACTTCATGTTACAGTCGAGGTTTTGCTTATGTCCTAGTGGGTACGAAGTTGCAAGTCCAAGAATTGTTGAGGCCATTTACGCTGAATGCATCCCGGTTATATTATCTGATCACTATGTGTTGCCCTTCAGTGATGTGTTAAGATGGGAGGCCTTTTCGATACAGGTTGATGTTTCGGAAATTCCTAGGTTGAAGGAGATTCTGATGTCCGTGTCGGAAGACGAGTATACGAGGCTGAAGGAGGGACTCAGGGCTGTAAGGAGACATTTTGTGCTAAACAAGCCAGTGAAGAGGTTTGATGTGTTCCATATGATATTACATTCTGTATGGCTTAGGAGATTAAATTTAAGGGTGGGATAAATGTTCATAGGCAGTGTAATTCTCTATAGTAAAGTCCTAGTCAATTTTTTTTTATAAAAATGAACTAATTATATAATTTTTTCTTTTTCAGATTACAAAATATGCAAGTTGAATTACAGATTGAATAACTTGATTCAATTAATTTTAAGAGTTTGATCATACATCATAATTATCTATATAATGCTGATAACAACACGAGCCTTCTCCTTACATTTATGAGAGTAACAACTTAAGTCATTCAAAATTCATTTTCAACCACAATAAAATAATTTTGCACATGGATGATGTATAAATAAAAAGTAAGATTTTTTTTTAAAATTTACGTGTAAAATATTTTATTGTGAAAATATATAGTTGAAAATGAATTTGAGAAAAAAAGAATTTTGTTTTAATGGTTATCAAACATGAGCTAAATTTAAATTTGAGTGGCGTGTGTCCAATTTCGTACGGAGGGCATATGATCATGTCATAATTAACCCTCCACATTTAAGTTAAAAGGCGGTTCACGAACAACCATATGTTGTGGTTTAGAGAATATTGATGGAAGAAAGCCCTCGCACTATAAAGACTATACAGGCATTCCAGGCTACTAAAAGACTTGTACCATAAAAAATACTTCTAGGGAGGTCCTCCTCGATTTCAAAATATTAAGCCCTTGTTTGCCCCCCATTATATCACATTCCATTACATTAATTTTTTTTTCTCTCTTCATCTCAACCATCCATTCATCAAATAAAATAATAATACACACAAATCAAAAACTTTTCAACCACACATCTCCCATCAATCACTATTCTAAAAATTATCTACCCCCAAAAATTTAAATTAATGGGGGGTAAACAGGGGCTAAGAAATTTAAGCAATGACCACAATCTCAACTTATTGACCAGCTTAGAGTTAAGAAAGATTAAAAGATAAAATTAAAAATAAAAATGCGTTCACTAACATAATATGTATTAAAACCGGGTCACTCTGTGCCTGTACCCCTCACACCCTGTGGCAAGCAATTCTATTGTAAAAACCAAAACAATTTAACCATGGATGAATCTTAAGGTATGCTAAAAGACTAAAACCCGCATGAGCACAGAGGGGTGACAGGATAATAAAAGAAAAAGCAAAGAATTAGATGAGTATAAACAAAACTTTCTAGATGATTTCAATTAAATTAAGCAAAGGATGAACTCAAATGTGGCATTTGCAACTGTTAGTTCTATTGGACTCGCATGCCCAGGTAGCATAAGAAAATGTACCGAACACTCACAGGCCCACCAGCCAAAATGCCAAAAAAATTCAAAAATAGATAAGGATCCCTTTATCTTGTAATGCTACCGAGCTGTTCATAGGTAAAATCTTGCCATAGGACGAAGTAGCCCCATTTTCAAGACCGACTGAACCAGGGTCCACCCGCACCATTTACATGTCCATTACTGTGGACCCCAACTCCATTTGGGATTATTGAAGGGGGCAATCCTACCGCCACTGGGGGCGGAGCAGTTGGGTACAACCCATGCGTGAGCGGAAGGTTGTGGGGACTTACAAGAGGACTGCCAGCTGGACTTCCTTTATGGTGCTGGATGGCATGAATCTGTCGAAGTCCTTCTTCATGAATGTGTGACAATGTCTCCAACTCCTTCATTGATAAAGTTTCCAACCCGGCACCATACAGAGGGGCGTGTCGTGACATTTCTTCCTGAAGCTGAGCCTCGACATGATGGATATATTGCTGTCAAAAGAGAGATGTCAGAACCCAGTAGACAAGCAACAACCATTCAAATGTCAATTTTACACTTTCCAGAAAACAAGCCAAAAATCACATAACAGGAAAGGTAAAAAATCATAAGCTCTAGAAAATGTTTGGAACTAATCATGACAATTGACTTTTTGACGACAATAGAGGGATATGGTGTTACCTGGCATCACTACAATTTAACTGCCTTTTCAAGTTAATGGAAAATCCATTCACTTGGTCATTGTGAAGATGCCAATTTGAAGTACAACAATTTCATGCCTTAGATCAATTGTTGTAGTCTAATCTATGAGGAAATCAAGTAACAAGTTTGACTAACGATCCATCCAGAAAACCACTTCATTAGAAGAAACTACACAAGGGCATCAAAACCGGATATTTTTTTTTTATAGGAACCTTCTCCATTATTTCCTCGTAACTTAAAATTAGTTTAAGAGAATTTACCCAAAGACGAGGCAGGCTATTCATTCCCTTCAATTATTTCCTCAAAAGAGTGCAAGATAGAAGCGAAATTAATCAAAAAGTTTTTAGTTGGCTTAGCACCAAAAATAACTAAAAGATGATCAAGGATCTAAAAAACAAAATGCGAGTTAAGAAAGGAGTTTAAAGCAAAAACCTCGCAGGCTTGTAATTTGGATTCCATTGCATCAATATATGCCTCACATCGAACAACTTGTTCCTCCTTCTCGCGCTTCTCTCCTTCAGCTTGCACAACTGTTTGTTGCAGCCTATGAACTTCATCCTCAAGTGATTGCCGAATCTCTTCTCGAGTGACATTTTCTGCAGCACATCGTTTCAATTCTTCATCAAATATTTTCCGTGCTGCTTCAGAACTCTTTAACCTTTCAGCAAGTGTATTTTTCTCCTTCATTACCCTCTGAGACTTTCAAAATTTATTGTCAGGCAAAGCATCAACAAAATGATTCAATAGTGCTCAAGTCCTAAGCCTTCATAAGAATGCGATAAAAGTGGGCCGGCGAAAGAGAGCTGTTTTTATCTATTATCATTTATGAATGTCAGAGAAAGAATCGAGACCCCAGATCATTTAACACTTCAGAAAATTTTATTCAATTTAAACACGGGTTTCCAAGAAATGCCCCATAAAAGTTTAAAGATCATTTCCCATTCAAAAAACCATGCAAAAGAAATTACTTTCCTTTTCCACTGCCCCGAGTTAGCTCTCTAAAAGCAGTTATCAAATAAAAAACATATTGTAACATTTATCTTTCAAAAGATTTCAAGAACATTTCAAGTCACAAATGATGACCAAAAAACAGTACAAAAACAAGATTAAAATATAAAACCTTCAATTCATCACGCTTTCTAGACTTCAATTGGGAGAGCTGTGCCTCCGCGTCATGTAAACGATCTTGAAAAAATTTCTTCTCTGTCATAAGCTTTGTGATTTCGTCATCTCGTTCTGAGCGAACCCACTCAAGTTGACCCTCGAGTTCTTGTATCTGTTCTGTAAGCTCCTTTCTTTCTCGAGCAAAGCGATCTGTCTCGGCCCTCATCTCTGACTGCCATTCCATGTAAGTATCAGCAGCAGTGATGTTTATCTTTCTTTTCCCCACACACACACACATATATGCTTGGAATATTAGTGGAGAAAGAGACATTACGTACCTTTAGGCGACTAGTAGTAGCCTCCGATTCGCTCAGCCTTTGAGACAAAATAGCTTTTTCTTTAGACATACTTGCACTTTCGGTTTTTCTTTCATCACGAACATGAAGAATCTCGTCTTCACTGGCACATAACTGATGCCAAAGAGCTGCCCGATCAACATTTGCAAGTTCAGCAACCTCTCGCATCATGCTCAGCACTGGCCTAACTATTTCTTGCTCCTCACACACCAAGATCGCCAAAATCTCCAAATCCAAGTCTATTTCACGACTAGTATCTGTAGTACTTGTAGAGCGATTGACAAGTCTCTTTAGAATTCTAAATCTGTAAGACTCATCAGCATACCATTTGAACAACATAGGGTACAGCATCTTTACAAACACTTTAACACATATGTCCTTAGAGAGTGCTAATGTCTCCGCAAGACCAAGAACCGAGGTGAAATCATCTCGTTGGGCCGTCAGTTGCTCAAGGGCTTCTCCATCTACAACTAGATCCGGTTGCTGATAACTTTCAGCAATATATTGTGTATTCAAATTCAAACGCCGAGAAAGGCGTCTTTCCAAGACCATGGCTACAGACTGAGGAACAAAAGCTCCACGTGCTACAGCTCTCTCAAAAGTTTGAGAGGCTTCAACAGCAAGGCAAGGGATAGATAACATCTCAATTAGGATATAAATGTCAGTAAAATGATGTCTAGCACGGAAAGCTTGCTCTTCCACTATATGCAGTCTTTCAGAACTAGACCCACTTTCACCAAATACGAAAAGTCCACAAGGGATTGGGGAAGGAATATCACCAAAATCATCATCACTATCAATATCTCGAAGAATAGCTTCAGCAATATCTGCATAACTATTGACAGTTCCAATCAAATAATCTAAGACACATGGAGAGATTTCAGTGCCTAAATATTTTAGCCTGGCTCGAACAGACCTTACCTACAACAAAGACCAACGGCAGTTAATGACATGCTCAAACGAAGCAAGCAGAAAGAGAAATCAGGCTATGAAAATAGATTTAGTTTCCATTCGTGCATACTGCTTCAGGTAGATGTTGGCAATGTAATGCAGCTTTGAATATAAAGTCCACTGTCGCCGCAAGAGGTTCATCGTTAGAATCAGCCAAAAGCTCTAATGACTGAAAAAGAACATGTTCCCAAACTTCACTGCTACATTCCAACTGACTAAGTGCCCCAAAAACCTAAGGAACAAAGAGTCAAAGCTGAACTATAAGCAGTGAAAATTAATCAAACTAAGATGACATTATCTGGATGCCACCTATGAACTTGAAGTAATCTAAAAGCAACAAAAATGCAGTTATCAGTCCCAGATTCCTTACAGGCAAACGCAGCAAGGGTTCTGCATTTGGCTTCTGAAGACGATCTAAAAGTGCAGAAGCAGCAAGCGGATGTTCCGAATGCTCAACTAATTTCGGAACCAAAGCAACTAGGTCTGGTTGTAGATGCTGTGGAGCTTTATCCAATACAAGAGCAATCTTTTGTGCAGACTGTGGCCTTCTTTTTGGTTCTGGACAACCTTGTAGAACGGCACCATCAAGTGCTCTCAACGAGTTCACTATCAATCCAAGAAGCTCCTCCGATTGCTCCGGCCACTTAGCATGAGACGAATCTTTCATCAATATATACTATACCAAGTAACTAAGAATTTCATTATTAAAGATAATATAGCACGATACCTTGGACCGCAAGGAAGGATTTTCGAATGAATCAGTAGCAGATGTTTCTGGTGGACAAGTAGGCTGTCCAGGATCAGCTTTAGTGGGTATATTAGTTTCATTAACATCTGAGCTTTGTACAGCAGATGTATTTATGGTTTCATCGATTCCTGAATCTAATCTCTCACGTGCAGGAAGCTGGGCAGATTCTGTAGCTCCATCATCTCTACGACTTTCCAGTGGAATAATTGTTCCACGGCCATCTGGGGAAGGTTTGGAGCTCACATCTGAAGAATCATCATTTGAACTTCCTTCTGAGGGTTGGCAACATTCAACCATTATATCTAAAAGTAAATCAATGATTGCTTGTTGCAAAACTTTTACTCCCATTAGTAAATTCATCAGACTGGGAGAAGACTCGTCATTCTTATTAATCTTCTTCCCATCATTAGTTCCAGATATCTTTGTCGGAAGGAGCAAGCGTTTAACTTTTGCAGGGTCATCAAGATAAACACGAAGTCCAGTCAAAAAACCAGCTATTGCCCCAGCATCCATGAGAAGTTTCTCTCTCAATGTGACCTGCAGCTGGGAAGGATTATCTCCGTAAGTAAGGTGAAACCCTGCTCTAGAAAGAAGATTTCTGAAGATGTCTTCCTCATCTCCACTTATTCCTTCACTGTCATCAGAATCAATGAGTTCATCAGGGTCAGTTGTCAGAGCATCTTGGTCATCTTCAGAAGCCAAAACCTGACAAAAGGAAATCCAGGATATAACACCGGTACATTGAGACCAATATGGAAACATGAACAGAGTTTAGAAACAAGGAGCACTTGGGACAATATCATTAGTAAGAAATGGCACTCATTTCAAATTTTTGCATCAGTATACGAACTGCTCGTGCCAGCTAAGGGAATATGATGAGTCTTATTAAGAGAAAACGGCCTAAGATAGAATGTTGACATAATCATAAACATCTTCTAAATATTTTTATCATTTTAAATATGAAATTGATTAAATGAAGGTCTCAAAACTTCATATAATGCATAAAGTCCAACATAAAATATAACAAGCACAAAGGCTAAATGTGGCTGAGAGCTCAATGAGATCATTTTAGGCTCATTCAAGAATTCTTGCTTAAACTCGTGTGTATAAATTTTCCACCTAATTTTGAAGGCATCAATGCAAATGTCAGAATTTCAGAATCTCAGACTCGTTTAAAGATCCCAAAATGATTGTTTACGAGTCGAGATTTAACTACTACAAGCATTAATGATAGAATCAAATAAAATTTCCTGTGTGCAGTAAAAGCAAAAATAATTCCACATAGCACATGGAATCATCTGATGCAACTTCAAATTTTCTACCAAGATCATTTTACGAAAGATCCAATAACTCTTGTACGAAAACAGGATACAAGAAAGTGCATTTATTTTAAAAATTACACCCACAGATAGCAATGAATTCATCCACTACCTCCCAATTCTCACACGTGCACCAGAGCAAGCACACACATACATATATAAATAGTTCCAGCTACCAGTATATAAAGGGTCAAACAAAGCAACAGAATCATATACTAATAGTTGATTCAAGAAGCATGAGTAATAAATAAAAGGAGCTACAGTGAACATGCCAAGTCAAAATACTAATTTGTCAGTTACCTTGGTTCCTTCTGTTTTTTGTTTCTGACACATAAAAATCATAATTCAAGGGGATATACCATCATAAAGGAGGTTTAACAGTCAGCCTCTTAAGGAACGCATTTGTTGATTTCCAAGATACAATTATTCAGGCAGTAATTATTAAATCAACTGTAGTCTGAAGATATCTATTTCCCTACAGAAAAATTAATAAATAAAAGAGAACCCTAATCTGTTGTCCTAATATTCATTTCTTCTCTTGTAGGGATCTTGGTGCTCCAATTCCGTCCAACATGGAGCCCCAAGAAATGTGGAATTATGGCATGTATATTTTTATGCAATGTGGCAATTGTTGAAGTGGTAGAAAGGAATTGCTCAAGATGAATTTGGCAACTCATCTAAGCCAAAGCATCTGCAGCATTATCTCCTTTCATTAAGGTCTATGATTTATTTTCCAAAATTAGAGGTACAGTGCTGATGTGTGAAAAGAAGAGAAACAAAATACAACACGTGCCTTTCAAAACCCTCCCTGGGCAATCTGCTATAAGTGTGGGATTCTTACTTTGTTAGCTAAGATCCAATTGTAGAAGAAATTTGATAGCAACGAAGTTGATATTAGAGCACTAGGAAAAAAATTCCTTTTCTTCGAAGGGGGTAAGAGGAAGGTAGCAGATTATGATGCTAAATGGATGAATTGCTAACCTCTAGGTCTGCAAACTCAAACCAGGGACAGCAGTCCAGGATCTCGCAAACAAATACAACTGTATCACGTACAAGAAATCCTGCATCAACTTCCAAAATATCAGACACCTTCATGAATTGAAGAACAGAATTGTTCCACGTCTTAGTGCATATAGAAGACTCCTTCCAAACAGTTTTAGATTGAGTTTTTTGATTCACTATAGCAATTCTGTATTTGACCCAAAAGTTCTTCTCAGGATCACTGCTAGCTGATTGGTCACTCTCCAAATATATGCATATGGTGTCAAAAGACTCATAAACTCCTGTAAGAACAAAGATGGTGTTGATGGAAAACTCAAAATCAGTCATCAGAATGAAAACCAAGAAAAGCTACAAAAGTTTCAATGTTAAAAAGGAAAGATTGAGGAAAAGCCACCCACCAATCCGAAGCTCACATCCACCAGCTTGAAAGAATTTACTAAATATTTTCCGTGTTTCCATTATTTCCTTGAAGGATAAGAAGTTCTCAACCTTCCATGTGAATGAACTCCTTTTACCAACAGTCTCTAAATGAGAACTGACATTTCCCAATTCAGTTTCCTGATCAGTGAAGTCCTGCATTATGGACGTCTCCTTCAGTATAAGAACCTCAGCAGAGAAGACAACAGTGTCCTGGACTAGATATCCAGAGTCTTGATCAAAGAGACTAGTGAGTGTCACGAACTCGCGCCAGCCCCAGTCCTTGGCAGCCTTGGAATATCGATTTTGAGATTCCTTCATGACTGACTTGTCCTCCATCCTTTGGTTCACAACTGATAGACGATGGCTCACAAAACAACTCCAATCACCATTAGCAATTCGCGAATCTGTGACTTCAAGAAATACTGAAAGATGGCATGGAGGTTGAGACTGCCCTGATACCATTAAGCATAAATGTTATATTCATCAGCTCAACAGCATAAGTAGGATGTAAGGAAATCTCAATTAAGCTATATGAACAAGTAATATCCCTTTTCATTTATCAAATAATGGAACTACTAGCCTCAGCAGTCCATATGTCCATTATGCCACTTAGTTTAGTCCATATGTGACCATATAAACATATGTTAATGTCTCAAATGCAAGGATGACGTGAATGGGAATCTGAAATTTGTTATCAAGACAATGTCCTTTAACCATAGATATATATTATGGATCCATTTACTTGTTGCACAATTCTGCTCATAATGTCAAGACGGCATATAGATCAGCTTAAGAATAACAAACAACATGATGTTCAGGCAGCAAGTTCTACTAGGACTGAAGTTTACATGCATAAGCAACACATATAAGATGAGCTATATCCTACTCAATCAGAGTACGAGTGATAGGGCTCTGTTGATCCAGTACTCCACTTTTCAGCACTTGATAGCAAACAAGCCCTTGCTACCACACGCTTTCAGCTAGACTGATGTGTGGGGTCAAGCTCAAGGGTACGAGAACAACAAATGCCGACATATTTATATTGCTACCATTTTTTCACATCAATATAAGGATAAAAATGAACTTCAGATGCCACTACCATATTGTCTGAACACAACAGGCATTCCCTCCATAGTAAATGAACACAACATACCTCTGGGGTAAACAATAAGTCGGCAATCCCGATTCCCAATCTGAAACCTTCTGCTCTTAATGCAAAGCCCTGTAATCTTCCTCTTCTTCAAAAGGTCCTTCAACCGTGTAAAATTTTCAATTCTCCATGTAAACTTTCCCATATGCCCATCTGCTTTCCTCACATTCCCACCATTTCTCCCGCCAATTAATGTACCACTCTTCGAGAAACTACTTAACTCCTTAATCACATGGAATGAAGTGCTAAAAACCGCCGTATCTTCCACCAAAAACCCTGAGCTGGACCCCATGAAATCTGTCATTTTCATATAGTCATTCCACCCCAAACTCGTGTTATCCCCGGTCTTATTATCTGCAGCAAACCGCCCATAGCTATCCCTATGCACATGATTCGAACCATTACCTGGCTTCTGATTCAACACTGACATCCTAAATAAACACCAGCAACTCCTATCCAACACCATTGCATTCTTCTCTGTATCCTTACTCTCCAAACACATGGACAAATACTCCACTCCATTAAGAATACTCTGATAAACACTAATTCGCAAATTACACTCCCCTGCCGGGAAAACAGGGCTCATTATTTTCTGTGTCTTTATCATCTCCTTAAACAAACTAAAATTATGCACTCTCCAAGTAAACTTCCCACTCAAAACATCCCCTACAACTGGCCCCACACCCCCGCTCCCGGCCATATTTGACACGTTATTCGACTGAGAATCATAATTATCACGGGCAAAGGAAAAGGACTCGTGGAGGATTAAGATATCTGCGGTAATGAGAATGCAATCATTCGAGGAATGCAGAAAGCCAAGCTTAGGGTCTAATAGGGAGTTAAGGGAGGCAAAATCGCACCAGCCATGGGACTTCTTCTTGGAGGAGAATCGGTGCCAACTGTCACGGTGCACGGACTTCGAGGGATCCGAGGGATTGTCTATGGCGAGGCGGTAGCTGGCGAAGCAATCCCACTTAGAAGAGGCGGTGTTGCGGGGGTCCATGATTTGAAGGTAAATGGAAAGGTAACCAGGCAGCGCCTGCGAGTCCCCCTTGGGGTAGATTAACAAACGGCAGTCGTAGCCGCCAACCTCAAAGTACTTGCTCCACAAGGCGCGCGACTTGATCCTAGGGAAATTGGCGATGGTCCACTTGCAAATAGCAGAATAGTCCCCTCGCCGCTCCACCACCACCGACTCCGAAGATGCCGTCGTGGCGATGGCGGAGTTGGACGCCAAGTCCCTTGACGGATCCTCGACCGCTACGGAAGGCTTCTCAGGAGGAGGGGATTGCTGGTGCAATGATGAACACGTCAATGATAACGTCATAGGGGTGGCATCGCAGGAAGACACGGCGGCGTCAGCGGCAGAGGCGTCAGCGGCAGAGGACGGCAGGTTTTTGTGGTGGTGGTGTTTCATTGTTAGGTTTTCTAGGGTGGTCTAGTTGATTAAATCCTAAATATATATATGTTCTCTGTCTCTATATGTATTTTCGTTTTATTGCTGATTGATCAATAGACAGATAAAATGAGTGTAAATACAGAGAGATTATTATGTGGGTGAGAGCAGTACACACTCCAAGAGCGTTTGGGGATGAAAGGGAGAGTGCATGAGAGTTAAGGAGAGCAGCGACACACCTTTTCTTTTCTTATTTTTGCCATGTTTGTTTTTTTTTTGAAATGTAAGAAATGGATACAAGGGGGAGTTACCTCCAACACAATTCTCTCCTCAAAGAGTTTAAGTGCTTCCAATGCTAAAGCATAATTTACCACAAAGTCATCCAAGATACAAAAAACAGATGGAAAAACCAAACAAGCACAATTCATTCACCATCTAAAAGCTATATCCTCAAATCCAGCAAAAATACAATCCCCCTGCCATTCAACTTGATATGCGCAAAACACTTCTTACAGACTCGGGAGTTGGGATCACACGGGCCCTAAACTTCCAAATTAAGAGCTACACCGGATTGAAAAAGAACAAAAGCTGCACCAAAACAAAACATCTACGGACAAGAAGTCGGAGATGAAAAGCTAGGACTCCATGTTTGTTGAAGCTTAAAACAACAAATTATAAGTTTACTTATAATTTGATGAAAAAATGTCTCGAAATGAATTAGTTCTTTCTATTAAAGACCATTAAAAATAAGTACAAATTTCTCATTATGGTACCACCATAGAGCAATAGCAAGATCTAAGTCGAATAAGGCTTCTGTGTTTGTGCTAAGTTAAACCGGAGTTGATAAAAAAGATGGATCCGAAAAGATCATTCTTGGAAAAATAGGTTTTTGTCTAATGTGTAGATTTCGGAGTAACAATATAGATAAATATATGTAGCGACCAAAATGGTGATGTAGAGAATAGCATAGTCAACAGGACTGCGAATATGGGAAATTGAAAGCTATATGTACAAGAGAGTACGTAGAGAGTGAAGATAAATTATAAATTATTAAATGGAAAATTTTCAATTTTTCCTTGTTTTGTAAATATTTTTAGGGTGAAGTTATATACTTTTTAGTACTAGTTGATGTCACGCGCGTTGCACGAGTTTTGTATAAATTTTATTTTGATTAGTGTACAAGGACTCGAGAATCCTCTTAATCTTTTGAGATAATTCTGATTGTGATCTTCTTGTATTATCTATTACAAACTTTATTTGATTCTAATGAGACAATATAAATAAACTTTGCAACAAGAAAAACATATGAAAATAATTTCATCATGTATCCAAATTCCAACGCCTCTCCCGACAACTGATCGGCATAGAAGGATGAATGAAGTTAAGCCCAAGTAGCATACATTAACATGATATGAATCCTTAAGCAAGTCTCTCTGGCAGAAGATGGAGGGAAAATAGAAAGAAACCTAAACAAGTGCATACCTTTTAAAATTAGCTCGTACTCTACTTTTTTTAGTCTGTTCCAACATCTGGAACCAAAAATTAAACATTTCTGTTGCAATGTTAAGCTTTTGCAGAACATTGAGCACCAAGGGTGCATTATAATACAGAGCATCAGCAACATGAAGAAAGGAATTGATCATCAAATGGTCAGGCCTCATTTTTCAAATGCTTGACAACAAACAATCTTTCTCTATTAATGACCTAGACAAATAAAATAGAGTAAAAAATGAAGCAAACAAGTAGCCATCAATGATAGCAGCTACATTCTCAGTTACATAAATGCATCTAGTTAGTGAACTTCACAACGATATAGTAAAAGTATTCAGTGTAGGCAGTACAAAAAATTATGATAATCCTATGGTATAAGTGAATATTACATTTTAAAAAATAAAAGTCACATTAATTAGATGTGAATGCAAAAATAAACAAAAAAGTCCAACGATGTCTAGCAGAACTCTACAACTAAAACAAATTGACTATCTGAATCCTGTTACAATCAATTACATAACATAAAGAGAAAACAAGAATGGAAAAAAGAAAAAACTATACTAAAAAGGTATAATCAGAAGAGTTGAACAATTCTAAAGATGGAAACATATACGAATAAATACGTTCTTCTAAATTTCTTCGTCATGCATTGCACTGCGAGAAAAATTAGTAATAAATGGTAAAAGAATGAAGAGGCAAGTAAATTGGCATGCTACCCTTGTGCCCACACAACATTGAGTTCAAGTTGATGATAACCAAAACGAAATCAAATATGTTTCCGAAGACAGTAGAGCTTTTTTTAATAAGATAAAATATACCTCTTTTCCAATCACAATTATACTATTAACACCTCAACAGGGAGAGGGAAAAAGAGTGAAGAATTTGGGATTGTATGATTTTTCATCTACAAGAAAAACAGTGGAAAAAATAGAAAATAATTGAGGAAATAAGTTTTGTGGTCCACACTTGCTTAGCTTCCCTCCAAAAAACTAATGCCACATTGGAATGGTTGGAGTGTTATAATTGTGGTCGATGGTAGCATTTTTTCGGAAAGCAAATCCCAAGATAGGATTATCTTGATTTGTATCACCACAATTTTCGTATCAAAAAATGAAGAAATTGGTAATAGGCATATCATAGATTCCAAATCTCAGTATAGCTAATAAACTATGGCTTTTGTCATGCAATCTGGAAGGGGGATAAGGAAACACCTTGACGGAAAATCAGACAAAGTTACTCAAGTCTTTGCAAACAATCCATTTAAATAATTAAAGATAAATAGAAAAAGTTACACGATTATGCTGAAGTTAATACTCCAGTAAGCATCAAGAAGGCAGGTTTTCCAACGAACAATCCTTATATAAATAGAGGAAATTTCCTGGACGAAACAGAATGTAGATATTATAAGCCAAGTTTCGTTCTCGTGTCCATGGAAGTAGATAATTTATTCTCCATTAGCTAAGGCCTCATCAAATCCATTTATCAAACCAAATAATCAAAAAATGGGCCAAAAAGCTAAAATGCAGATAACATTTGTAAACCAAACCCCAAAGAAGGGACATATGAGTACCCAATGGCAGAAGGACCTGATTCACGAAACAACCGCATAAACCTTGCTTAATATTCTCAAAGCCAAGACAAAATATGCCAAAAGAAAATATAGCTTCAGCACCACTTCCTAAACGACGAAAAAGTTTATAACGATAAAGTTCAATGCCAATTTAAAATATAAATTACCGCACACGGAGAGATGTTCAAAGCAGGAAGAAACACTGAAAAATTGGAGCTTTACAACTTACAAGTTAGCACGACGAGTATAAACTTATGAACAATTTTGCACGGAAAAATCTCATAAACTATTATTTTGCACGGAAAATTCATGAGCAAGGAAAATTATTTTTATATTTCTTTTTTCTAATATCTTCATAATTTGGTTGCACCAGCGTAGGAAACTCATAGTCTATATAACTCTAAACTTGAAGTACTATCATTTCAATTGTGAGATAGTTCACAAATTCCAACAATGAGAGATTGCAACCAAGCCAATGACAGCAATTCATCAAAATCTTTGCTTTCAATTTTTCTACTATCAAATGTAGCCTTACTAACCAGCATATGAGAATAAGATAAGCACTCATAATTTGGGTAAAAGTAAACTATAATCTTAAACAAGGCACAAAAAGAGTGAACTCGAAAATCGTAATTTTTCTAGCTTCTGGAAGATGACGAATAACCAAAAGTTCAAGACACATACAGAGATTAAATCAAATAAAATAAAATAATTGATTAATGACTTTGGGGGAAGTGTGTAATAGGAACTTCCATAAAAAGAACCAGGGCCAAAGCATAAAATAAAATAGAATTTACAAGCTCACAAATTGAATCTATTTGCATACAGCAAACAGAAGAAAAAACTAACTGTAACCACACTCTCATAAACAAGAACCAAACGTGCCTCTCAGTTGATGAATATAATATCAAACATAGGTATAAGAAAAGAAACTGAAAAAAATCTCAGAACACCAATTTAACAATGCAGTTTATACATCATTCACCCAGAAAGCCCATACGCATACATAAAAATGTTCCACAATAAAAAATATACAGCAAGCATTCCTGTGCTGATAAAAAAAAGGTTGAACTTAATGTAAAACTGCAAGTTTCTTTTTCATCTTCCTTCTTTTCCATTAAAATATATATTTCAAAATATTATCTTATATATATTTTTTGAGATTTGTGAGCGATACACAAAATGGGTAAAGCCATTCATAATCCCTCAACTTACAAAGTAGTTTCATGTAGCCATCGAAGTTTATTTTGTTTTAAAATGGTAATTAAATTTTACAATAATAATCATATTATTTTAATTTGGTCACCAGAGCAAATTCTTGAGTTTTCATATTAAATTATATTAGAAAATATTTATGTATACAAGTAATTTATCCGAAAATATTTGGAGATAAAAAGTTAAGAACGAATAACTTTACATTTTTTAGGGTTAGCCGTAACATGCTATAATTCTGGACATATAAATACGGAAGAAAACATTAGAAGGAAAAAATGTGGAGGAGAATGACACGACACTGCTAATTTTAGGGAAATGAATAACGTCCAAAGCACGTAATTAATAACTTCTCATTACAATAATGTTTCAAAATATAATATTAACAATTTAAATTTATTATTTATCGAAATTGATCTATAAAAAATACTATTTTTTTTTAGGTTAATTGGCGTAAATAATTATTGAAATAATAAACCCTATCCCCAAAGGTTCTTCTTCTTCAAGACCCCAACCCTAACTCACCCTATTGCCCAATTCACCCAACCCATTATGTATATATATAAGGAGAGAGGAAGTCAGTAGAGGAGATTTGGAAGCGGCAGATTGGTGAAGAAGCCAGTCGAGCGATTGATCTACTTCTCGAAGAGGTTGCATCTCAAAGGCTCGGAAGTGAAAGTGCCGCAGAAACTATTGCGAAACATCTATTTGAAATCAAGGAATTGAACGTAGCGAGTTCCACTCCAGA